ATCTTGACTTGTGGCATCAAGGATTAGGTCATTTGAATTTCAAAGACCTAACTAAGATTGCCAACAAGGAAATTGTGAGAGGAGTACCCAAAATGTGTAAGAATGTGAACCATGTGTGTGGGCCATGTCAATTAGGGAAGCAAACTCGTGCCCCTCACAAAAAGGTGAATAGCTTAGCAACTAAGCGACCTCTTGAACTTGTTCATATGGATCTTATGGGATCCACTCGTACTGGGAGCATTGGAGGTAAAAGATATATTTTTTTTAACTGTTGATAATTATACTCGTTTTTCTTGGGTTCACTTTTTAAGAGAAAAATCTGATACGTTTGATGCTTTTAAGTCTTTAGTCCTTAAAATCCAGAATGAACAAGGTGTTTGTATTGGGCGTATCATAAGAATCCGAACTGATCATGGTCATGAATTTGAAAATAGCTCGTGCTCAGATTTTTGTGATATGCATAGAATTAAGCATGAATTTTCTACACCTATCACTCCACAGCAAAATGGAGTTATTAAGAGGAAAAATATGGTTATTCAACAGATGGCTAGGGTCATGCTCCTTAGCAAGAAAGTTCCTCCCAAGTTTTGGGATAAAGCCTTAAATACCGCTGTTTATGCTGTGAATCGTGCGTATTTAAGACCCGGCACTTTACAAGCTCCATATGAATTGTGGAAAGGGTTGAAATCTAATGTCAAGTACTTCAAAACTTTTGAAAGTAAATGTTATATTTTCAAAGATAGAGAGCCTTTGGGTAAATTCGACTCCCGAAGTGATGAACGTATTTTTCTAAGGTATTCAACTATTAGTAGAGCTTTTCGTGTCTACAACCTGCGTACTTTATCTTTAATGGAATCGATCAATGTGGTTGTAGATGACACAGGTTCTCCTACTGCATCTATGCATGATGAAGAAGGTTCTCTACAAATTCTGGATACTAAACCACAAAGTTAAAGAGAAGCATAAGGCCAAGCTTAAGAAAGTGAACCAACACCAACCTCTTTGGCAGGTCCTAGTTCAAAGAGTGCACAAACAGACACCACCACTGATGCTCAAATCACTACCAGTCCTGGTTTGAAGCCATCAGCAAGGGTTAAACTGAATCATCCGGTTCAACAAGTGATTGGAAATGTGTCAGACCGAATGAAAACCCAAAAACAAATTCGGGAGGAGGTATCTCATGTGTTATGCTTCATTAGTTGACCCTAAGAATATAAAAGAGGCCTTACTAGATGATAGTTGGGTCAATGCTATGCATGAAAAATTAGGTCAATTTGAATGTAACAAAGCTTAGACTCTTGTTCCCAGGCCTAGAGACATGAATGTGATAGGTACCAAGTGGATATTTAAAAATAAATCCGATGAGAATGGTATTGTGGTTAGAAATAAATCTAGGTTGGTTGCTTAAGGCAACACTCAAGTAGACGGTGTTGACTTTGATGAGACGTTTTCCTCTGTTGCACGTCTCGAATCTATTTGTGTTATGCTTGGTGTTGCATTCTTTCTAGGATTCAAACTATTTCAAATGGATGTGAAAAGTGCTTTTTTGAATAAGTGCTTGAAATAAGAGGCTTATGTTGAGTAGCCAAAAGGGTTTGAGGACCCAAAGTTTCCTTACCATGTCTACAAGTAAGACAACGCTTTATATGGATTGAAACAAGCTCCTTGAGCATAGTATGATAGACTTAGGCCTATTTTGGGAAGATGGTAAAAAGAGACATTTTATCTTTTAATCAAGTTTTTGGCTTTTTTAGACAAATGATTTGGGAAGTTGGTAAAAAGTGACTTTTGGCTTTTTTGATTAATAGTTGTTTATGATGTCAAATCATAATAAAATGACCAAACTACCCCCATTTAGTTTAAAATATTTACAACTTCACCTATGTAACACATTTTGACCCATGAGGGATAGAATTGTAATTTCACCATTGGCTAAAAACCAACTTCCCAAATGAAAAAAAATTCAAAAAAGGCAACTTTTAGCTTTTGCTACAAACCATAAAAAGTGGCTAAAAGTCAACTTCCCAAAACAAGACTTACTACATTCCGTATTGACAATGATTTTCAAATAAGGTCTTGTCCACATTAGAGCTATCCTACCAATCCCTACTTGTTTCAGGCCATACTTGACAGTTTGAGTTGTTTTCCCATGCTCAGCGGGGTGATTTTTAGGGCCTACAGTTTTTTTTTTTACCACCGTTCGAGCTCAGCTTGTAGCGGTTAAGTGGAAAATCCTCATATCCAATATTTTTGCAGAGGAACCAAACTACTGAGAGCATGTTTTTTGTGCCCGAGCGCACCAGTCTTGGCTTGAGCTACAGGACGCACGTAAGTAAGCATGCTCAAGTGGCTAAACCCACGTTCGAGCGGATTGTCCTGGTTTAAAAGCCTTCACCCGTCTCTTTGGTCCCAATTTTTCCCCAAATTCTTCGATCTCTTTCTCTCTCCTAGGGCTCCTTTCATCCCCTTCCTGATTGCACTTTGGATTGGCTTGTGCATAATTATCCTTACCTTCTTTAAGTCCTCCAATCTTCGCCTCTGGTAACTCTCTCTTCCTATTCTTTAATTTTTTTTTTGTCCTTCATTTTTTTTTTGGTTCCATTTGTCTCGGTTTAGGTTTTACAATTTGCATCTTTGTCTATTGTGTGATGGTTTTTGAGGGGTCTGTTTTTCTTTGTTTTTTTCTCTTACTTGAGTTGCATCACTATGGTTCTTGTTTGGCTTGGTCATTTTCATAATATATTACCCCCTGTTCTTTTTGGTTTCATGCTCTGTTCTCTACATTGTGTGTATGCCTTTTCTGGGCTTTGAATCTTATTTTCTATACTTGGTTCTTTGCTGCACACTCTCATACTTTTGCTCACATGTTATTCTAATGGTTGTGTTACTAGTGGTTTTGGCTCTTTGGTTATGATTACTAATGTTTTTGGCTTTTTGATTTGGTTTTTGGGGGTGGTTTTTTTTCTCTATCTTGTTGGGTTTGATTTGTCTTTGGTTTTTAGCTATGTCAACATCCAAACGCCGAAAGTCCACAGCAAACTACCCACTTATTAAAGATAAACAAAGATGGAGAAAGGAAGGCAAGGTGGGTGGATCCCTGTGTTGAATCGAAGAGGAAGACAAGGAGGATGGAGAAAGGAAGCTAATGCAAGACTGTTCACAATCTTTGTGGATGCTATACCAAGTTCCATGAACTCGAAGATGGTGCTCAACATTTTCAGGAAGTTTGGAGTGGTGAAGGATGTTTACATCCCGTAGAAGAGAAGGAAAGTGAGGAATACTAGATTTTCTTTTGTTAGATATGATTGTGAAGTGGTAGCAGAAATAGCAGTGCAAAAGGCAAATGGGATTTGGGTGGAGGACACACAGCTAGAAGTGAAGCATGCAGATTACAACAAGGGGACTCTGGAGATTAAAGGTCACAATCAACCTAAACCAAAAGGCCCTCTCAACATTGGAAGGGGTGGAAGCTGTGGTTTGCAGCCAGCAATAGGAACTAGATCTTATGCAAAGGTGACTAAGAACACTAGCATCATAGGAGAAGGAATTCTCACAATCAAGGCTGAGGAAATAGGAAATGGGTGGCTGTATGCTAGTGTTGTGGTTCGTCTCAAATCAGAATATGCCAACATTAATCTTAAATCAGAATTTCAGGAAAGGGGTATGGAGAATATATTGGTAAGGGATGGAGGGGGTACGAATGTGTTGTTAACATTCAAATCAAAGGAGGAAAGGAAAACACTTATGGGGACAATAAAGGAATGGGTACAGAATTAGTGTAAAGAAATAGTGGAGTGGGAACCAAGTCTTGTTAGAGTCAAAGAACGTAAGATATGGTTATGCTGCTATGGACTACCATGGAATATGTGGAATAGAACCACATTGAATAGGATTGTGAGTATTTGGGGAGAAGTAATCTATATTGAGGATGATTTATGCAACCCAACATTGTTTGAGTGTGCAAGGATCCAACTTGTAACCAGGTGTATGGAGCCAATTAACAAAGTGATTAATCTGGAATGTAAAGATTCTGCTCATTCGGTAAGAGTGTAAGAACAACAATCTGGGTTATCAAATCTTATGGTAAAGATGTGTATCAGCCAAAATAAGCTTCGTGGGGAAGCAATCTGCAGTACCAACCATGGTGAGAAGATTGGAGTATGGGAAAATTCGAGAGATATGGTTGAAGAAGATGATGACTGGGCTGATGAGTCAGCATGGCAACTGGACCAGGCTCAGGATGTGTCTAAAAGGGATGTGTCATGTGGAGGTAGGAGGAGTGATGAGGTGGAGAAGTAGTTACCTGGGAGAATTGAAACAGTGGTGGCAGAGTCAGCTGGTATTGAGCTCGAGTAGAGTGCAGAAGGCATTATGAAGGTAGTTGGGATTATAGGAACTAGAGGTGGAGCTGGGCCTGGTTTCTAAGGTGGGCCGAAGAGATGGATTAGATAATAAGAGGAAATGGGTAGAGGTACAAGCCCAGGGATTGAAGTCTGGCTTTCAGTGTGGGCTTAAAAGTGTAGTAAGGCCTATGCTGATCTGTTCAGACATATCACAGATCCATGGTGATGTAATATTCTTAAGTAAAGAGATTATAAAGAAAAAAAAGGAGAAATAGTGTAGTTCGAAAATCAAGTGGTAAGAAGATTAAAGAGATGAAGAAGGGCTAGCTTGAGCTTGCTAAAAGACATGGCCACAATGGAGATTCATCAAGTAAACTGGGCCCAAAAGGGGCAATTTGGAGAGCAGCCACTGCGGTAGCATCAGTGTCCTTATCATCTGCCAGTGGAGTGGCTAGAGACAGAAAAATGCTTAAAGAGGCTGAAGAAACTCTACAACTGGGGAAATTATTGGGAGTAAATTACAAAGGTAAAGAAGAGGAAATGATGTCCAAAATTGTGGAGCTAGAGGCACAGGATCGAGCAAGAATTGGAGAGGGTTCTGATGCTGTAGTTTAAAGTGTAGCAGTGGGGGTTAGAAGTCAGTGATAAAGGTTAATGATGAAGGTCCTATCATGGAATGTGAGGGGTCTGGGAAGGAAGGAAAAAAGGAGTAAGATAAAAAGCATGTTGAAAGCTAGAGGGGTTGACATTGTTCTGTTCCAAGAGACAAAGAAAGCATTTATGTTAGAAAAGGAGGTAAAGGAATTATGGGCCATGGATAGGATATAATTTATGTCAGTTGATGCTGAGGGAATAGCTGGTGGTTTATTATGCATATGGGATCCTTGTGTGCTGCAGGTATCCAGCTGTTGTTGTAATAGAAGATTTATTCTTCTATTAGGTACCCTATTTTTCTCTTTCGAATGTGTTATAATTAATTTGTATGCACCTAATGAAGTGGCCCTAAGAGGGAAACTTTGGGAGTGTCTCTTGAAGCTAAAAGAGGAGTTTTCAAATCCCTGGTGCTTGGGGGGTGATTTTAATGAAATCAGAAACATTGGAGAGAGAAAAGGATGTTCTAGGAGGGAGAAGGGTATGAAGGAATTGAATGATTTTATTCATAAAAGTGAGGTGAATGACTTGCCCCTATTAGGTAGAAGGTACACATGGTGTAATGCCAGGGAAGGGGAAAAATGGAGCAGAATTGACAGAGTACTAGCAAAACCAAAATGGTTGGAATCTTTCAATATGAAGTTGTGGGGGTTTCCCAGAGCTATGTTTGATCATAGTCCTTTACTGTTGATGGAAGATGAGAGAGATTGGGGTCCTAGACCATTTAGGTTCTTAAATGCATGGTTACTACACCTAAATTTCTTACCTTTCATGGAACAATGGTGGTTGGAGCATCATGTGGAGGGTTAGGCTGGTTTCAGATTATTTTAGAAGATGAAGGAGCTAAAATTAGCACTTAAACAGTGGAATAGTGATGTATTTGGTAATATAAATACTAAGTTGAAGCAAGCAGAGGAAAAGCTCCACAAGATTAATCTGATAGCAGAGGCAACAGAGCTTGAAAAGGTAGAAACAGCAAGAAGAATCGAGGTTAGAGATGAAGTTTGTAGATTAAATAGAATGGTGGAATGGCTGTGGCTTCAGAAATCAAGACTCAATTAGAATATGAATGGTGATAAAAACACAAGATATTTTCATGTGATAGTTAAGTGCAAACAAAGGAGAAATGAAATCAATTCGTTAACTATCGAGGATGTAGTATTTGATGATCCTTGTAAAGTTAAACAAGAGGTTCTAGCTCATTTTCAAAAACAATTTACTGAGGTTTGGCAATGTAGACCTATATTGGAGGGTCCTTTCAAGTCAGTGAGGGATGACCCATTTTTTGATTTGCTGGAAGTAGAATTCTCTGAGGAAAAGATAAGGTGTGCTGTTAAGGACTGTGATGGTAATAAGGAGCCAGGCCCAAATGGGTTTAACTTGGCTAGTATTCAGAAGTTATGGAAGGTGATGAAGACTGATGTGCTCAATTTCATGGCTGAGTTCCATAAAAACAGTAAGCTAGTTAAAGGGATCAACAGTTCCTTCATCACTTTGGTCCCCAAGAAGGAGAATCCAGTGGGTTTAGCTGACTACAGACCAATTATTTTGGTTGGTTCACTATATAAAATCCTTTCTAAGGTTCTATCCTCCAGGTTGAAAGTAGTGATTCCTCAAATTATTAGTGAAAATCAATCAGCATTTATTGGAGGTAGGAACATTCAAGATGGAGTGTTGGTGGCCAATGAGGTTGTGGATTGTTGGAAGAAAGCCAGGAAAAGAGGTTTGATCATAAAGTTAGATTTTGAGAAAGCTTATAACTCTTTGAATTGGGACTTTTTATTGTCAATGAAGTTAAACTTTGGGTTTGGTGAAAAGTGGGTGAAGTGGATAAAGGAGTGTATAACCTCTGCTAGGTTATTTGTGCTTGTTAATGGAGCACCAACTGATGAGTTTAGTCCACAAAGAGGGCTCAGACAAGGTGATTCACTATCCCCTTTCTTGTTCAGCATAGCGGCTAAGGGTTTAAGTATATTAATGTCAAGGGCTTTGGATTTAGAGTTGATAAAATGGGTGAAAATTGGCACAGATGGGGTAGTTATTACTCATCTTTAGTTTGCTGATGATTCCCTAATTATGTGTGAAGCTGATTTTTTGGAAATTTGTAATGTGAAGAGGATTTTGAGGTGTTTTGAGTTGCTGTCAGGTCTGAAGATCAACTACAACAAAAGTGTAGTTAACGAAGTGGGTGTTCCGGTTGAAGTTATGTCTGAAATTGCATCAGTGTTAAACTGCAAGGTAAAAAGTATGCCATTTCAATACCTAGGACTACCATTGGGTGTTAATCCCAGCAGAAAAAGCATCTTGGAGATCTATCTTGGACAAAGCTAGAAGCAAACTGCCAGGTTGGAAAAGGAAATTACTCTCATTCACAGGGAGACTTACTTTAATTAAATCTGTCCTTTCTTCTTTGCCTATTTACTATTTGTCTTTGTATAAATTGCCACACTGGGTTGGTAGAGAGCTGGACAAGATTCAGGCCTCTTTTCTCTGGGGAGGGTCTGATTTGAGAAAAAGATTCATCTAGTAAAATGGAAGGAAGTATCCAAACCAGTTGCGCAAGGGGGCTTGGGGGTTAGGAGAGCTAAGGAGGGCAATGATTGCCTTTTATTGAAATGGTGGTGGAGGTTTGGTGTTGAGAGCAAAGAATTGTGGAGAAGAGTTATTTGTAGTAAGTATAGGATTGAGGAGGGGAATTGGAGGCCTTTAATTAGCCTTAATAGCAGGTGCTCTAAACTTTGGAAGGATATAGTATCAGGCCCTAAACAAAGCAGTAGCCTGATGGAGTTTTTTCTGGATAATTGTAAGGTGAAAGTGGGCAATGGCAATAGAGTCAAGTTCTGGGTTGATAAATGGTGTGTGAACTTATGTCTCAAAGATGAATTCCCACTATTGTATAGATTGGTAGTAAATAAGGGGGAGTCTCTATTTGCTATGGTGGACACAAAAAAGGAAACTAGTGAGTGGATGTTCCAATTTAGAAGGGAGTTATATGATTAGGAAAGTGTGAAGGTTACCGGATTGATAGGATTTTTAGAGGTTCGTACTATCCTTAGGTTATCCTCAGAAGATTCACTGGTGTGGGAGGCTTCAAAAGTAGGGAGGTTTATAGTTGAATCAATCTACAAATTTCTGGCAGGTGGTTTTGGCAGCTATAGTAGAACAAGTAAAAGGGTGTGGTTGAAGTACATTCCTCCTAAAGTCTAATTCTTTGGGTGGCTTGCTTGGAAAGGTAGACTTAAAACAGCAGGCTTTCTTCTTCGGGTTGGTGTTCTCAATGCAAATGCATCAACCCTCTGCATTCTGTGCAAATCTGTGGATGAGTCTCTCAACCATGTGTTATTGTCATGTACATTTGTTTGGAGAATATGGTCAACAATGCTCAGATGGTGGGGTGTTCAAGTGGAGGCTACTCTTGAGTGGTGGGTAGGGGTAAGGCTTAGCAAAAAAAAAGAGGATGTTATGGAAAGCTATTCCTTTAGTTGTTATGTGGTCTTTGTGGAATCTTCGTAATAAGTGTTTGTTTAGGGGGTTGTCCCTAATGAGGCTGCAACCCCACGTCTTTCTCCCTTTTATTAACCGCTTTCAATGGTTAGATTAGGTGTACGTTTTGATTAGCATTACCTGTATGCCTTGCACGTCTTGCATACCATTCATTTGTTTTCATGTACCGGCTTGGTGCATCATTCAAACTGCCATCATATTTCAATACTTATTGAATACATTGTATTCAAAATGTTGCATTCATTATTGCCCATCTAGATAGCCGAGCTATTAATTGCATTATGCATGTGGTTGCATTAGGCATCTTAGCATAGTTAGGAGCATGCATATTTCTAAACTATGCTTTGTTTTTGGCTTGTTAGTACACTGTTAAGGTTCACGCTTTAGCATGCTTGCATGAGTGTAAGTGTTTGCCATGATACATGCTTTCCATGAGGCTATTTGCCTTAAATGATAACTGTATAATTCCTGTGGAGAAGGCTTTGTGTGCCTAAATTGGAACAACTCAATGATTGTGAGTTTTAAGCCACTTTGTGAAGTTGGCAAAATCATATTTTTTTTTAAGCCCACTTGAAGGTGGCAAATCCGTGCTTTAGCCCACTTGAGAGTGGCAGTTCTAACCATTTCAAAAACAAACATAAGTCTGTTTTATTCTAATTCTCGTGATTGAGTCTATATTGTATGTGTACGCCACATAGTAAATGTTAGCCTAATAATCAGAATAAGAACACATGAGGTATAAAAACAACATATCATGCTTAGTAAGAGGTGCGATCTTCGATCGGCGCGAGCGGGGGCTCATGTCATGACCTTCCCCTCTCGTACCCAAGTTCCCGAGCCGAGGAACTTTGGTGATTGACGGACATGTGGCCTTTGGACGAGTCAGGGTTTCCTAAATTTTCCAAAAACAAAATATTATGGGGGCGACTTCTGCAATGCTTGGCAAAGCAGTCAGTTTTTGGCATTTATTTTGATTTAAAATCTTAACTTTCAAAATGCATTTGCCGCGATTGGACTCTTTAGCGGTTATCAGTCTCAACATTGCACTTTGTTGAGATTAAATTCAGAACCGTGACAGGAGTCGAATGTAATAAGACCAACTTCGCGCCTCTCCGAAAGGAGGGGTGCGTGAGAAAAGTCGCGTCCACAATATCCATGCTCATGCCAGAACATTTTTCATTTCTCTTTCCAAAAACCATGCAATTCCAAGTTTATATCTCGATAGATGACATCGTTTCTTTAACATAGAAAATAGGGCAATGAATGCAAACACTTGTGATCTCTAGGACGTGTCTGCAAGTAGGACTATACAAGTACTACCAATTTGTCATTTTTACCAGTATAACCAGAAGACTCAACACCCATCCACGTGGGTTTCTGGCCTTTCACCAAGGACACACAGGCCATCTTAATATCATAACTACACTTTCTGCCCAGAGTTCCAAGATATTACCCATTTTTCTCAAAACAACAATATCCAAATGTGTTCAATATGTAACAATTGCTGAATGCAATGGGATGCAGATTAATAAGTTTCAACTCCCCTAATTCTAATTCAATTTTTACAACAATCATAGCTATCCTCTTACCGATAGCCCAAAGCAGTATACCTTCTAAACAGATAATTAATTTCCATAACGATAAACTTTCCAAAATCCAAGATTGTAAGTGGTAATACATACCCAAACTCCACCATTCGCTCATCAATATCAATCCAATTTTCGCATTTCCAAACACCAAATCCATTTATTTATACGAATCAATATTTGATATAATTAGGGAAAAACCCCCATTTTCTTCCAAAATCAATTCCTCATATCAAAACTAACCTTTTATCAATAACCTCAATCTCATTCATAATCCTACAACCATTTTCAAGAAACCATTGAAAACCCATCTTTTGAGTTTAACCAAACCCTAGATTTGTTCAAAAATTCCCCAAATCACAATATTATTTTTAGAAAACAAACACATAAACTAAATTTAAAAATCATAAGAAAGTGCGGAGAATCCCTACCTCAAGCTTAGAAACATAAGAGAGAGATAGAGAGAGAGAGAGAGAGAGAGAGAGGAGAATGGAAAGACTTCAAAAATACTGAAACCAACTTTGTTTTAAGTAAAAACGAGCCCTAACCATGCTCTACCTTTTAACCAAGGACTAGGATGTAGGAAAAGTGGGATCAAGATGTATTTGGAGCTTAGAGGTGAGGTCTAGAGGAGAGGAGAGAGAGAGAGAGTATATCAGAGATTTAAAGAGAGAGAGGTGTGAAAAAGTAGCTCAAAAAGTGAATTCACGACTGATATAC